ATGGAGCTCCTCCTCAAGGTTTCTGCTGGGCTTTGTCTGTTCTTGGAGTACTGTTTGTTCCTCTTTATGAGAACTCCTCGTTTATCTCAGCCTTGGCACCAAGCACAGATGGATGACGTATGGAATAAAACAAGTTGGAGGTGAACAATTTCACCCCTGACTTGTTAAAATTAAATCCATTTGCTTTAAACAGATGCCTGCGTTCCCAAAAATTTTTTAAAGTTGTTGATAAAATGCACTGAGTGGTCAGCACATGCTGATATGAGCCATTTATTCAGTGTAAACAACCTGCTGAATCTCTCGTTCAGGAGAACAACTAAGATAATTCATCCACAATACGAGGTTAGTCATTAATGAACTGCAACAACATTCGAACAGAGCAGCTGCGAGAGAATTCAACATTAATGAATTAATGGTACGGAAGTGGAGGAAGCGCAGTTCTTAGCTTTTCCCATATTTCAAAAGTGCTTTGTCTCTTTGCTATGATTGTCGCCCAGCATAATTTGCAGATGATAATGCTTGTAGCCACTGCCATGCTTTCGACCAAAACAGGCGCAGCTTGATGACATCATCAACACCTCCTCTTCTTCCACGTCTGCTCACTCCTGTCGACCTCTTATCTGCTCCCGTTTGAACTCCTTTGCCCCAGAGAATGTCCTTATAACCATTATGAAGTGTGATGTGTAAGCATGCAGCAAAAAGGACCCTTAAGTGCTCTACATCACTGTCAATATTTCAATCCAGACATACCACTGGACGAGGCTTTTGACCCTCAAAGCAAGGAGCTTTCTTTAGACACCTTTTCAGCTTTGACAAAAGTTCAGCTTGGATAACCACATTTACTCAGGGCCTTCTTGATGTGCTGTTCTTCTGCCTCCCTGGCCGCTGTGTTAGTGGGGATGGTGTTGGCTCTATGTTGTCGCGTCCTGATGATACCCAGTTTGAGCTCCAGTGAATGATGAGAGTCAAACCTTAAATACTGATCCGTATACGTAGGTTTACGGTACACATCAGCTTTTAGATGTCCCCCATTACTGATGGAAATCTCACAGTCTAAGAAGGCCAAGTTGTCTTTTCTATATCGTCCCTGATGAATTGTGAATTGTGGAATGTCCTGAGAAACCTGAGAAAGAGGTAATCTGATAAGCTAACAAGATATACTTGTAGATATACTGTAGCATGTTAGCAGTGCACACACACACATACATACATTCACACTGTACATATACTCATGCAAATGGAGGCAAGTGTCAGGGGTGTTATGTGAGCACACGGTCAGATTCTCTTTTCACTTGGGTAGTGCGGTCTATGGATAACTATATTTTATTAACTGTAAATATGTTTTGAAATAGTTAAAAATGTTTATTCCAACTTTCCTGCATTTCCGGCACAGTGTTGGGTAAGTTACTTTAAAAAAGTAATTAATTACTAATTACTAATTACTTAATCAATATTGTATTTAAAATACTTATCTAATTACTGTGTCTGAAAAGTAACTTAATTACTCAATAAGTAATTTAACTGAATACTTCTTAAAATCCCTATAAACCTTGAGTGGACAAACAATAGAAATTAAACTCTTTAAATAATAAATACATTTTTTTTAAAAGATGGAGACTCTACAGTACGCAGCGGTAGCATCTCTTCCACAATGTAGCCTGCAATTATTTTTTTTAAGCTCACCTTCAGACGCTTTCTGTGCTGCTGAAGTAAAATCAGGTTTTGCTGCTTAGCAGGAGTTGTCGCGGTGTTATCCATGGATGATGAACAAGGATCACTCAGAAGTGTTTGTCCATGCTCTCATGTCAGGCGCTTCAGTAGATTACTCCTGCTATTAACAGCAGCCGATAGTTTTTACATATTACTGTAATGTTCTTGTCTGCTTGTTTCAGAAAAGTGAAGAGACGGGAATATGTACATTTCGTAAAACAGCCACTCGCTTCAACCGAGTCCGACATCTTCCGCTTTAGAATACGACTATAAAAAAAAAAAAAAAAAAAAAAAAAAAATAGAATACGACTATGCAGCAAACTGGCGCGAAATGACGCGCACCTGCACTACAGCGACGTTAAAGCGGCAGTTTATTTTTACCTTTAGAAGATAAATAATGATATTCAGCGAGTTTAATTATTTTACAATTTAACGCAAGTACATTGTAAGTAACTGTAATTAAAATACCTAAAAATGAACAGTAATCAGTTACTCTACTTTTTCAGTGGAAAAGTAATTTAATTACAGTAACGCGTTACTTACACTCAACACTGATCCGGCAGCTTCTTGTCTATTTACACAGACTTAGGAACATAATCTGTTTAATTACATTGATATGAAATCTGTTCATTACATAGAGTGAATGGGATTTTTCATTTCAGAAAGCAAAAATGGTGGCTGGTAAAGTGTTAGAATGCTGATTTGTGTTTTTTCTATTTTTGCAGATGAAGATAAGCCAGAACACATCAGCACTGAGTGTGAGGACTGTAAGAGAAATTAACAACACATAATGAATAAAATAAGATAAACCAATAAATGTGTGGTACAAAATATTATGCCACAAACTTTATAATTTCAAAATATCAACCCAGTAGTAACATATCACAATCTTTAACAAATGAAATAAAAATAAGAGGTTAAATGTAAGTGTTTATGTCTAAATTCACATTTTCTGTTTTGAATAAACTGAATCGTTTGATTTCTTGTACAAAGGATGTGGCGCAACAACTCTAAATATTATTGACTAATAATTACAAAAAACTTAATGAAAAATGAAAGTTAACTCAGTACTCACCTAAAGTCTCTTTTTCAGTGTCTGAGCTGAGGGTCGTTCTGCTGGGGAACAACTGGTCTAAGAGAAGCTCAGTGGGCAACTTCATACTGGGAGTGACTGTGTTCAGCTCTGAGGATAAAGCAGACCTCTGCCTGAGAGTCAAAAGGGAGCTGAAGGGGAAAGAAATCGATCTCATCAACACTCCAGATCTGCTGTCAACTAAAATCTCCCCAGAAGATCTGACGAAACAAGTTGAGGACTGTGTGAGACTCTCTGCTCCTGGACCTCATGTGTTTCTGCTGGTCCTCCAGCCTGCAGACTTCACTGAGGATCACAGACAGAGGCTACAAATGGTCCTTGAAATCTTTGGTGATCCATCATTTGATCGTTCACTGGTTCTGATAATGCCCAAAGACAAGAGTTCAAGTTCCATTGAAAAGTATCAGCAGCATCCACAGTTAGGAGACATAATCAAGAAATGTAGAGAAAAACTGTTGTGGCAGAAGAACCTGGAACAAGAGCAGCTGTTAGCAGCCATAGATACAGTGGTGAGGAAGAGCATGAGGGAGGAAGTTTCCAGTGAGGAAACATCTGTTTCACCCAGTCAAGATGAGGAAGAAAAAGTCCCTGCCAGCTTGGATCCTATAAGGGGCGGTGAGTACAGTAAAAATATTTGTTGTATAGCAGAATGTGATGATTTAATGATTAAGTTCAGGCCTTTCAATAAATGTCTGTCTATTAAACACCCTGCAATCCAAGGGGTCTAGGTTGGCCTCCAAACAGACACATCTTTTAAAGATAAAACATTTTAATAATCCTCAGCTCAGGTTGAACAGGTTGGCGAGAAAATGAAAGAGTTTGAGATGATCTGGACATGTGAACAGGAGGGGTATAAAGGATGTTGAGGATGGAGCTGCCAGGCAGGAAAAAAGGAAGACTCGAATAAGCTACATAGACGGACAACATGCAAAGGGTTGGTGTGACAGGAGTAACTAGAGACAGTTAAATGCAGGCCTGTGATCTGTCAACCCCTAACCCCCAAAAAGAAAGAAACACTTAAATGTCCCATTCAGACATAAAAGCTAAAATGATTATTTAAAACTTGAGGAGAATAAAAGTTCTTAATGTCATATTCCCATCCATCCATCTTCATCCATCCTTCATTCATCCATCTTCCGCTTTATCCGGGGCCGGGTCGCGGGGCAGCAGCCTAAGCAGAGAGGCCCAGACCTCCCTCTCCCCAGCCACCTCCTCCAGCTTATCTGGGGGAACACCAAGGCGTTCCCAGGCCAGCCGAGAGATATAATCTCTCCAGCGTGTCCTGGGTCTGCCCCGGGGCCTCCTCCCAGTGGGACATGCCCGTAACACCTCACCCAGTAGGCACAAGATTTAACATGTTTATTTGCAGATAGTAATGAATTCAGAATTAACACTGACTGTGATGCTGTGAGATCAAGGAGACATGGCAAGGGTAGTGTAGTTAGTCTGAGAGCACATGGGCACTGTCACAAAAGCTCACGAGATTCTAACAATGTAAAGTGGTTTGCGCAGAAACAGAGATGAATTCAAAGAAAAATCTGACACAAAACTTGGTACCACTGAGGCCTGCCACATACCCTGGCTGATGCAACGATCTAGCAATGGCAAAAGCCTGTCCATAAGATGCTGGTTTATGAGACACTCCTCAAGACCTGGCTCCAAGGAAAGGGCTTCAGTCCCCATATTCCGATATCTATATCTTCTGTGAATTATTGCCTTATAATGGTGGAGGGGTTTGTGCGTCCCAGGGATCCCAGGGGCAATGTTGTTGGGTGTTTTTGGCCCCTTGGCAGGGTCTCTGATGACAAATTGGTTCTGGGTGAGGGACTAGGCGATTCAAAACTCCTATTAATGAAACATCTGGGGAACCTTCCTTGATGCATGTTCAATCAATGAGGTATGTAAATCCCAAACCTGCAGCCAGCCGAGACTGAAGAAGCCACTTGTATGAGTGACAAAACGTTTCTCCCACTGAAAGCTCTACTTCCAGATGAACAGAATCAACTTTTTGTGATCTAGGCAACATTTCACCCTGCCAGGGGTAGGTGCCTGGGGGCAAGTGCCTGGTAGCTGGGCCTTAGTCCATGAGGCCGGCCGGGACACAGCCTGAAAAAGGGAGATGGGCTCACCCTATTGTTGGTCCACCACTCTAGTTACACTAGTATCCCCTCGTCTTGGTGTCTGCACATTGGAGTTTATCTTGGTGGACAAGAGGGTTTGTTCTCTGCGCCTTATGGTAGGGGAATGGGTCCTGACTGTTTCTTGCACTTGCCATACGACAGTTCCGAGTACCCAGCCTTCCTGGAGCCCCTGGGTGAGTGCTTGAGGGTGCTCCACCTAGGGACCCTGTTGTCTTACTGGGAGATTTCAACACACATGTGAGCAATGACAGTGAGACCTGGCTGGGCGTGATTGGGAGGAATGGCCTGCAAGATCTCAACCCAAGCAGTGTTCTTTTACTGGACTTCTGTGCAATCCACAGTTTGTTCATAACAAACACCACATTTGAACATAAGCATGCCTATAAGTGCATGTGACACCCTTGGCCAAAGGTCGATGATCAATTTTGTTATTGTATCATCAGATTTAGGAACGTATGTTCTGGACACTTAAATGACGAGAGGTGCTGAGCTGTCAACTGATCACCACCTGGTTGTGAGTTGGATCAAGTGGTGGGGGAGGATGCTGAACAGACCTAGGTCACCTAAACATATAGTGAGGATGCAAGATCTTCAACTCATACCTCTGGCAGAGTTTTGACAGCTTCCTGAGAGAGACTGGGGACATTGAATCTTAATGGACCTTGTTCAGCAATCTCTGTTACTGAAGCTGCTGCACTGAAGAAGGACTCTTATCATGCTTGGTTAGCCTGTGGGACTTCGGAGACAGCCGATAGGTACTGACAGGCGAAGTAGATTGTGGCTCAGGCTGTGGCTGAAGCAACAACTTGTGGGGGGAGGAGTTTGAAGATGCAATGGAAAAAGACTTTTGGACTGCCTCAAAAAGATTCTGGGAAAATGTCAGGCATCTCAGGAGGGAAAAGTGGTGCTCTACCTACACTGTGTATAGTGTGGGCAGCATGCGTCTTCTGAAGAGGAAGCAGAGTCTGGGATGAGGCACGATGACGACGACTTATCCATCACTGGGGGTGAGTTCACTGAGTTAACCAACTCGTTCGTGGCAGGGCCCCTGGGGTGGATGAGGCTCGCTCTGAGTTCCTGAAGGCTCTGGATGTTGTAGGGCTTTCTTGGTTGACACATCTCTACAATGTTGCTTGGACATCAGGGATGGTACCTCTAGATTGGAAGACCAGGATGGGGGTTCCTATCTTCAAGAATGAGGAGAGAGGGGCATGTTCCAACTACAGGGGGATTACACTGTATTTCTTCTTCACTCACTATGTGATTATACACCTCTCTGCATTTCATCATCACAACAAGTCTTTTGTCCGTTTCCCTTCTCTCACCCCAAGCGGTTATAGCAGATGGCCCCGCCCCTCCCAGAGTTTGATTCTGCTGGGGGTCTTCCTGTTAAAAGGGATTTTTCCTTCTCACTATTGCCAAAGCACTTGCTGATAGGGGGTCATATGATCTTTCAGTTTTTCTCTGTATGTATTATTGTAGGGTCTACCTTGCAATATAAAGCACCTATAAATTGTTCATGAGTGAGTGGAGCGGGAGATCGGCAGATGGATTGGTGCTGCGGATAATGTACCAGTCTGTCGTGGTAAAGAGAAATCTGACCATAAGAGCGAAGCTCTCAGTTTATTGGTTGATCTACATCCGTACCCTCAACTATGGTTAAAA